TTTAGTGTCTTAATAATTTTTTGTGATTTCCTGAGTGGAGGCATACTGCCATTTCATCTTGGTAAAAGGTCCGTTAAATGAATCTACCAAGTAATCGATTGGAGTAGATAGTTTCAGATTTGGATATATATTATTATTTGGAATAATAGAATCAGCTATAGATAAAAAGTACTTGTTGAAGAAAACATTTGCAGTTTTGTTCTGATTCCTTATTAATTTCTTATCTACAAATATAGAATGAATACCTTTATCCTTTTATGATAATGGCTACTTGTTTGGTGCATTACAAGTGTCACTCTCTGTCATAGAGCCTTCTTATAAATAGCACTAAAGAATTATGTAATAATGGTGAATTATTTAAATCACCCCCACTATGTCTTCTGGTTTATTTTGTTGTCATTTTAGTATCAGGTTTTGTTGTCATAATCAATGGAAGATACTGCAGAACCTGTATACTGCCTTTCAGTGTTAATCCTTTGGCTTCTGTTGCTCTTTCGTATTTGTGTTTGTTTTGTAGGATTACTGTTTGCTCTCTGCCAGTTGTATCTTATAAGGGCCTGATAAATAGAAGTGAATAATATATGTGGATTAGTAAAAGTCAGAGGAGTGACAGCTGATTAATGTTGGACTGTCACTTGTTGGAGTGAACCTAAAGTCTAGTGATTTGAAAAATACTGTATGTGATGGACCTCATGGATATTTTCAGTTGGCAGGGACACATATGCAGCAAGGAATGAAAAAAAAAGTCTTCTGAAATTTTTAGTATTACCTGATAAAGGACCTGAATTCAAATGGCTGCGGGGGATCTGTTTAGGGAGTGTAGAGTATGTGACATCATTTTGTGGATAAATTTTGCCTCAGGCATGCACTGGAGAGGAAGTCAGCACTGATACTTGCGTCCACCTGGACATCCTCTATGCATCCATTTGATTTGACACCAAGAAATCAGAATATTTCCAGCTGAAATTTTGTATGCATCTCTCTTCTCAGTACATGCCTCACCCATTTTATCCCTCTTGTCTGATTATTCTAATGGTATTTTGTGAAGAGTAGAAAGTGTGAGCATATTCACTATGTAATTTTTTCTTCCCATTATTTTTTTTGCACTTCATTCTCACTATATAACCATATTTTACCCATCAGATGAAAACCTAATTTTCATAACCATATGAAATAAGAGAACATTTTAAAGGATTCTGTCTTTTGGGACATAACACTGTAGTCCACTGAAAATCTGCAAGCATTTTAGAGGAATATGCAAGCAGAGCTTGCTACCTTCTTTATGCTGGTTTCTTGCATTACTTATTTTTTTTACCCTAATTATGGATGGAACATGTTCGCCCAAAACATTAGTTGACTTTCAGAAGTCTACACGACATATACCAGAAGATCTCTTCATAACCACCACTGTGAGAACCTCAAGTCCTACACAGGTAAATTGTACTTGTAGGTTGTAATCCTTAGGTGTTTAAATAGAAGTAGAAAAAA